AAAGATATCGTAAGACATAAGAATTCATGTCTTCACCCAATTCTTTTCCCATTTCGCTTTTTTCTCAAAAAGATTTTCAACATAAGTGTATCATCTATTTTCATTATTTTTTAACAAAATTGAGGCCAAAAGGTTACTTGCTTAGGCTTTTGCTTTACCTCAAGCAATTTCAGCTCGCCATTCACCAAGGCAAGCCTTAGCACGAGTCCTGAAACTGTATTTTGAAAAAGCAAATATAATAATCGTAACTCCTCCAACTATTAACTGAGGAGATTTTAGGATATTGGATGTCATCTTTCAAACCAATGGAGCCAGTAACCCAAAGCACGTAAATCATGATTCAATGTACTTGTAATTTAAAGCACCATTCTTTTACCTCCAAAGGTGCTTCCAAAGAATAAAGATATGGCCACCAAAGAACAATGAACGTTCCTAACACCGCCAAGCCCAATTTCAAGACCTCAAGAAAAGGATTCTGCCGCCTTAAGCATTTACCAAAGAGATAGCCAAAAAATGCAGGTGCAAAATAGGCACTCATCTGCATAAATCATGATCTGTAAGTAATATTTGATAATACATCAGAGCTAAGAACCACACATCAATAACTTTAAAGAGTAACTCCCAATAAACCTAGTAGATAGTCAATCATGATAACAAACCTTTGGCATAAGTTTAAAATCACATTAAGTTACTCAAGCAAGATATCATAAATTCACCATCAAACTTAAAAGCGCGTAGCTAAATATGATTCCAAGTAATTATTACCATACAATTCAAAGCATACTTTTGTCATTACCATACCATTCAATTTCGTACAAGGAGGTATACTAAGTATGAAGATTTTGATGTGTCAACCAGTCAGCTTGAGGACATATAAATGTATTCAGATCTATCAAACTCATAAATGACCCTACTTCCTCTCCTAGGCAATTCTGTCCTTTTCATCTATGGAAAATGACTCTACTTCCTCACTTTAGCAATTTTGTCCTTTTCATCTCTCGAGAATGGCCCCACTCCCTCTCTTTAGCAACTCTATCCTTTTCATCTCTAAAATTGGCTTCATATTGTTAGAGCCCCACATTGGTTGAGGGTGTGAATGGGTTCTCTTTACGTGGTATTGGATAATACTCACCTCATAAGCTACCTTTTGGAGTGGAGTTAGGTCAAAGATCCATTTTTTCCTAAGACATACGGGATACTACCAAATATAAATTAGCATAGCCATTCAGTCACCACTCATAAATAGCTTTTCCACCAGAAATGAAAAGTAAACGTGAACACCCACAATTTGGTACTTCCTTTTTTTTTTTTGATTTTGTACCGGGTGTCCGAGTCTCTTTGAGCCCCGACTAATCCCGGGGGTGCACAGGCCCTCGGCAAGGAGTTTCCCGCAAGTGACAATTTGGTACTTCCTTATACAACTATACAAGAAAAGATATGCACAAAGTACATATTCAGATTTGCTTTGAGGTAAATATGCACAGACAGATATATTACCTGTTTATGGTTAAGAGCAAGAGTGAACAAAATAGAACCAAAAATGTCTCTATCAGATAGGATTGCAGAAACAGCAGCAACAGTAAACCCCAAGCTAATACAATTATACTGCATCAAAGAAATTGAAATCAAAAATCAAAGCTTTCGAACAAATGAACAAAAACTTCAAAATCTAAGGGGCAAATCACAGGCCACGAGAGATATAGTACCTGAAAATGACCATGATCAATCAATATGAGACATGGATTCAACAAAATCATGGCAAAGTGCCACATATTACCACTTTTCGGCCCGTCATGAGTACCAGAGTAATAAACAGTAACAAAATAAATAACAGCGGGAAAAAATATTAGGACGTCGGATAATAACACTGTCCACCGCATCAACAATTTTCTGCATAAAAAACACATCAAATTCTTTTATTATCTCATCTTCCAGTAGATACTCCTAAAAAACCAGAACTTTGATTTTAATCTGCCACGTCATACCCAATATAAGACTCGTAGCCACGGGAAGTGAAGAGTTCAACTGACTGTGGATCAAAATATCTGAGGAAGAGACCATGAATGTAGCTTTGGTACGCTGTAAGAGGAGGGTAATCAAGACCCCAATATTTCAGATCATTGACAGTACTATTTTGGTACCATTCTTTAACCGGGAGATTGAGTGTGATCTCCATCCAATGACGCTGAGCTTCGTAATCTCCGTATTTGGGAGGAGTTCCAGCGCCTGAATAAGGGTGGATTGATACTGCTACTCGGACTAAAATTGCAAAGAGAGTGATGCAAACGAAGGAAGCTGTAGTGCCCCTTTGAGTCAGAAAAGACCAGAGGTTGGATTCGGAATCGTCACTTGTTGGATACGTTGCTTTTTTCTTCTTCTCCATTTTACTCTGAGAGATTTCACCGGAGAGAAAAAATATAGGAGCTTAATACTCAATTTGGGCGGAGACGGAGAGCGCAATCGGTTGGCGGAGGGGGGAAGAATTCAATCACCCCGAAAAGGAATTCGGGCTGCTCCTTTCGTGTAAATAAAAAGGGACGGACTTTTGTATAATGAGGGGGAAGTGCACAGTTAGCTGTTTAGCCACTATTTAAAATGTATTTAATCTTTAGCCGGTATTTAATAAATTTTTATCCATCCGGATGAAAATACCCCTGTGCTAGACATGAATATTGTGTAAATATAAGGACATAGTGTCCTTAACTTTATGAATGATGTGTAAATATTAAGAACAAAGTGTCCTGTATATTCACCTTCCTTTGTTAAATTTTAGGACATCATATTCTTAACTTCATATGTGCTGTGTAAATATTAAGGACATGACGTCCTTAACTTGTATTTGCACTTTCTGTTGTTAAACTTTAGGACTTCATGTCCTTAACTTCATATGTGCAGTGTAAATATTAAGGACATGGTGTCTTTAACTTCATGTGTGCAGTGTAAATGTTAAGGACATAGTGTCCTTAACTTTATGAGTGTTGTGTAAATATTAAGGGCATGGTGTCCTTAACTTCATGAATGTTGTGTAAATATTAAGGACAAAGTATCCTGTATTTATACCTTTCATTGTTAAACTTTAGGACATCATGTCCTTAACTTCATATGTGCAGTGTAAATATTAAGGACATGACCTCCTTAACTTCACGTGTGCAATGTAAATGTTAAGGATACCATATCCTTAATATTTACACAGATTTACCCGTATACATATATATTACGAGTCTTCTTTAATTTCTTAATTTCGTAACTTATCAAATATCATCACATAAAATTAAACAAAGAGAATACTAATTAGTATACATATTATAATTTAAATATGTGTTTACTTTTTTAATAGAATAAAACTTTATTTACTATTATAAGGATTAGATTTGCCATCTTAGTGCTTTTAATCCATGTGCTATTCATTTTATTTTGCATTTATCCCTCAAAAAATAGCAAAAATTCTCGCATATTATTTATTGGAAAAATAAAGTAACAGCGACGCAACAATTAATCAATGTTAAATTTTGTATGAAAATTAAATATTCTTAGTATACCAACCAAACAAATCCTACGCTTATTAATATATGTAAATTAAATAGGTGGTATCACATTATCTTCGAATTTTCTCTAATTCGTTTTTCATTATCTAACAAATCACTTGGATGGGAAGACAGTAGGTTGTTAATATCCCAACTGAAAATAAAATATTTGCACAAGTCACAAAACAATCAATAATAACTTAAATCACTATAAAATTATTTCGAACATATATGGCGCATACAGTCGACTCAATTATGGCAGCTAAAACCTACTCTACATATACAGAAAATGCCATGCACTTAATAGCAACTTATTTGCACGACGATTTTGCTTTATCTTAAGAAAACTCTCTCTATATATACATATACTGTTTAATTTTAATTTTTAAAAATTCAGTATACAAGAAAATAAGAGACAATTTGTTTCACTACTATGTAGCATTAAGAATAGGAATCACCGTACTGTTACAACAAGATACATTCGTGCAACTACGGGTGTCATGAAAATCGAACCAAACCACAAAAAAATCGATACTTTTTAGGTTTGGTTTGGTTTTGATTTTGAATTTTAAAAACCGATCAAGTTTGGTTTGGTTTGGTTTTAATAAAATAAATAACCGAAAAAATCCGAACCAAACCGACTATAGAAGTAGCTATTTAAATTTATTATTACACATATATATATGTATCTTTTTATATAAAGTTACTAAAATTTTATGATACATATTAGTCATTTATATTTTTAGTCTAGTTCTTTGCTATTATAATAATTTAATTCTTTGCTTTTACATTCTAGTTTGATTTGTATTTTTCTTTTGCTAAGTACAAGAATTTATTTCATGTTAAAAATAATCGATTTTTAATTGAGTAATTAAATTATTCATCACTATTTGATTCAATTATCATCAATATATCTTGGTAAATAATAGATTTCTCAAAGATCAATTGGTTTGATAGTGTTACGTTGAAAATGTAGTCACCGAAATATGTGTTTGGTAGTATATGTCTCATATTTAAGAAAAAAAATAATAAATAACCGAAAAATCGAAAAACCGACAAAAACCGAATCGATAAAAAACCGATTTAATTGATTTGGTTTGATTTCAGTATTTAAAGAACCAACTTACTTGATTTAGTTTCTTTTTAGAGAAAAATCGATCCAAACCGAACTATGAACACTCGTACGTGCAACACCAAAGAAGTATTTTAACATATGAAGTGCTTAAAATAGAGCACTCTACAATTTCTTAAATTTAATTAAAAGACTTGCTTATCTTTCTTTTTTTCTTTTGGTCTTTTTTATTTTCTTGGATCCTCTTTTGTCAAATTAGAAGACTGTAGATACTGCGGATAACAGTAAACCGAAGAAACTGGCGGAAGCTGCACTCCACACGGCATCATATTATTGGCCAAATATGAGCTGTCAAGTTTGGGCGTTCACCAAATAATTGCCTTTCCATCGGCTATATAAAGCACGACAGAGAAGTCAGCTACGGTTTTCACTGTGATTCCGACTTCAGATTTTCTTCCCTCTGCAATCTTTCCGCCTGCGACGGCCGGCGGCCGGAAGTTGCACGTGCCGGTTCCAAAAAAAAAAAAAAAAAAAAAAAAGAGAGTAGAGGAACGGGTAAACAGTAGCTTGAAGATGAAGATTTTTGTGAAGACTTTGAAAGGCACTCACTTTGAGATCGAAGTGAAACCGGAAGACACCGTAATTATCAACCTTTTTCTCTTATTTTATATCGTATACGCTGCTCGAAAATTTTAATTTTTAGCAATCTAATTTGAGCGTCAAATTAATTAGCTCTAGCGGCATTGTAATCTGATTAGGGTTTTAGTTGCAGCTCATGTTGTTTTAGGGAACCACTTCAGTATACGTTTGAATGCTGCTTAGTAAATATTTTGGGTCATGCTTATGTTACTGCTTAAATAGTACTTGAATTTGGCGTTTCCCGAATAATTGTTTACTTCTCATTAGTTTTTAATTGTTGTACTGCAAATATTGCAGTACTTGACGATCAATTACTTGTTGCTGGTGTTGTAAAATGTTCCCTGTACCATTTTGCATAATGGCCATGGTAGTTGGACTAGTTGCATAAAAGTTGGGTTGCAAAAAGTGCTTCAACTTGTGGTTTGTTCAAGAGGTGCAAGCTTCGATATAGTTTATCTTTTCTTTTGTGTGTGTGGGGNATAGGTGTTTTGGTTTTAAGACTTCTTATATCAAGTTGCCTGATCAGGCATGTCATGCGGCCATATCATACTTAGTTGAAATAGGGGATATATGTTTGAATATAAATGTATTAATCCTACTATTAGTTTTAGTGTTGCATTATGTATCATTTCTCTGGTAATGTTCCCTCTTTTCCCCTCCTTTCCCTCCCTTGCCCTTTCCTTTGCATAAGCTGATGACCAAAATGGCTGATTATTCAGGTTGCGGATGTGAAGAAAAACATAGAATCAGTTCAGGGACAAGATTTCTACCCCGCTGCACAACAGATGCTTATTCATCAGGGTAAAGTTCTAAAGGACACTGCAACGCTTGAGGAAAACAAAGTTGCTGAAAATAGTTTCGTGGTCATTATGCTTTCCAAGGTACCAACTGTGCAGTTACAAGCATGTGCTGAGCAATAGGCTCTTCTATTGTTTAGCTTGACTTGAGAAAAGTTTAGGGGGAGGGGCTTGAAATTGGAAGGGCAGTTCTTCTTCTGTGAGCTGTGTGAATATGTCTTTTGTTTTGTTGGCTGATGTTGGTACTGTCCATATTTTCGTGGTTATTGTAGAATAAGGCCTCATCAACTGGAACCTCGTCTTCTCGAGCAGCTCCTTCAGATACGGTGAGAGCTTAATACCTTCCTAAGTTTCTCTTCTCTTGCTTGCATCACCACCACACTCTTTGCTTTCAGAATAAAATATATCTTCGCTTTAGATGCATTTATGCACCTCTATCTATTGCTTGGTGTGGCGATCTTCAGCCCTGGTTTGATGGTTGAGACTACATTTAAGTAATTTTTGCCACATAACTTATTGCGGAAAGAGATACGGCTTTGAGTAATGGCTATATTTTCATTTTCTCTTGTAGAATATCGATTCCCATGCCATTTCCGTGTAGCACTGCAAGTGTAACAATATTTTATTCAAGCAGTTGAAAGATGGTTATGTCAATCTAGATTTTGAGAGCTGATAACAACTGTTTGACTAGGCACAACCAGCTAGTTCCACTGGGCAAGCCCAAGCTAGACAGACAATAACAGCACCTCAAGCTCCCGCTGCAAGTGCTGCACCGTAAGTTTCTCTTCCTGGTATCTTTGGTTTCGTCACTGGTAGGTTTTACTTGAAATTTCTTTTCCCTTTTGTTGTTTTTGTTGGTTTAGTTTTAAGATTTGTTTGCTTTGCAGTCCACAATCTACTTCTGAGTCTGCTACTGCTCCTGCCCCTGTGCCTGGTGATGCTAGGTGAATACATATGACATGATTGTTTTAGGGACCTCCCTTTTATTTATGCTCGCGTTTACTATGTGATTAGTCTTGTCTTTATTGAGTATTACTCCATTCTGTCAAACAGTACTGTAACAGATGTGTATGACCTAGCAGCGTCAAACCTTGTTGCTGGAAGTAACTTGGAGGCCACAGTTCAACAAATTCTTGATATGGGTGGTGGAAGTTGGGATAGGGATACAGTTGTGCGTGCTTTACGTGCAGCATATAACAATCCGGAGAGAGCTGTTGACTACTTGTATTCTGTGAGTCTGCAGCTAATTTTGCTTTTGAGATCCTTGTCCATGTTCATTCTCTTGCACCTCATTCCTGGTTGGACTTTCTATGTGGTAAATTCAAACTTACGTGGTAGTTGGTTGTGCAGGAGTATCTGTGTATCATGTAGTACAGTGTTGATTTTCTTCTCCTTCTGCATGATCACCTTCCTTCTCTCTCTATGTTATCCTTCTCTTTCCCTGGTTTGTCTTCCACGATGATATTTTTCTTCTGCAATTTCTCACTTAATTGGTTAAAATGATGAATCTAGTTGTCTGGTTAATGTGAGAGATGCGGATTAATTCACCTTCTTGACCTTGGAGAGAACCTTCCCTCCCTTTTCTTCATTTTGTGCATTTGTTTTTTGATTAATGAGTTATCCCCTCTTTCAATTTTTTTAACGGTGTTTGACTGGGCATGGAGTTTATAATACTCATTTTGACTTGTGTGGTATATTAGTCGTAGTGGATGAAACCAATAGAGTGTTAGGTAAACTATTGCGAAAAATAACAAAAGCTCATATCAAATTGATTTGAATTCATGGAAGTTGTGAAAGATGGATAGAAATGGAAAAGCATCAAAACATTTCGGAACATCCTAAAATGAAGAGAGAGATAAATTGAAATTACAGGGAGTAGCTTTTATTGACAAAAGAGGCTTTTATTGAAAGCCCCGATTTACAAGTTGTATACAAGAGAGAGTTCACTATACAAAAACAGCTTCTAAAATCCTATCCAATCATCTATATAAACATGGGGTTTGCTGTGTACTCCAAACATACACAAAAATAACATAATGTTCTTACTGTGTAGCATTGAGTTTTTCCAACTCCTCAAATTTCTGTTGCATTTCTTTCTAGGTCATCCAAAACATGCACTCTCTCACGTTGTGTATTGCATTGCCTTTCTAGTTTATTCATTTCTAGGGTTTAGAGCCCGTTAAGATTAGCTTGAAAAATGTAGCTTTTAAGTGTTGTAGCTTGTTTTATAAATAAGCAGTTACCTATTTGGATAAAAGTGCTGAAACTTAAAAAAAGCTGTTGAAGTGTTTGGTAAACAAGTGCTGGTAAGCACTTTTTCCTGTTAAAAAGACAGAAATATCCTTAAAGCTGTTAACATTATAAAGGAGCCGATTACTATAATATATTTAATTCTAAATTAATGCAAATAAATAATAATTTATATTTTAATTTAATTTCAATTTAAATTGATTATTTCAGATAGTTTTTATAAATATAATTCTTAAGCACTCATTTTCCACCACTTTCAATCAAGTAAACTTCCATAAAAATGAAACGAGCTCATTGTCTTCCATAAATAAGAAAAAGAAAGAACAAAAATTATGCATTTTGACTTCTTGTTCTGAAGCATCTCATAAATTAAAGCTAAAACATAAAGCTAACACTTCAAATATACTTTTAAATTGACTCAAATACAATATTCATATAATTACAAGCATCAAGCTTCATAAATTTCATTAGCAATCAAATCATGAAGATCCATCCAAGGGAGATCACTTTGTTTTTCTACATTTCTCGCATTTATGTTGTTATTAGCTCTCGAAGATGTACCAATATCATGATCAATAGATAGAACATATCTCTCATTCTCAGCTGCTCGGAATGCATCATCCACATTGCATTTTTTTCTAATATAGTTGTGAATGGCCATAGTAGCAAGTACGATGTCTCTTTGAGTGTCATAGAAAGGCATGTCTCGCAAAATAGGCCGCCTTGCTTTCCAAACTTCAAATGTGCGCTCGACAATAATTCTACAAGAAGAATGCAAATAGTTAAATTTTCAATTCGTCCTCTTGGTTCTCGCAATTGTCGTGTCGCACCGCGGCGAAATTCTGCTAGGTGGTATCTCACATTATCTCCTTTGTATGGAGCCATATATCCCTTCATGTGCGGATATATAGAGCTATATATCCCTTCAACTTGTGTAACGATTGTTCCTTAATTTAAAGAAAGGGAGATATCGTCCGTTACATGGCTTGAGCAGGATATCCACACATGAAAGGATATATGACTTCACACAAAGGAGATAATGTGAGATGCCACCTAGCATAATTTCGCCACGGTGCGACACGACAATTGCGAGAACCAAGAGGACGAATTAAATTAAATATTTGCATTCTTCTTGTAGAAATATTGTAGAGCGCACATTTGGGGTATAGAAAGCAAGGTGGTCTATTTTGCGAGACAAGCCTTTCTATCATATTGACACTGTTAGTTTACAGCATGTATATAGTGTAGTATTGTCCCACATTGGTAGAAGAGTAGTATGTCCTTGTATAGTATAGCTATAAATAAGGACCTCTTGTATTGTATTGTTCATCTAATATCAATAACATATTTTCTCTCGTGCCTTCTCACATGGTATCAGAGCAATTGTGAGAGACTTATCGCTGTGCATAAATTCCAGCGATTCCGGGAAAGAGAAATCGCTGTGCATAAATTTCAGCGATTCCGGGAAAGAGAAATCAGTACTTTTTTTAAGGCTATTTTCTATCTGCTTCATTTCTGTCAGTGTTGTGCAAAATCCAACACTACCACAAGAGTCGTCACTGTCCGGTAACCAAACCCCAATGAAAAACTCCGGCAGCAGCCTCCTCACGCGCCACCAGAAGCTCACGCGCGTGAGCTCACGCGCCGGCGCGTACGACCACTTCCGGCCATTTTTTGAAAATCTTCCTTCAGAACAGTTGGGTCGCCTGGTAATTCCGATCCTACCCCTACTGTTTTCATTTCATTCCGACAACGTTGAGTTTTTTTCCGGCAGCTATAGTACTATTCCGATAGCTACAATAGATTCCGGCAAGCTACAATATTTCTGTATTCTGTTTCTGTGTTTCCGTACACTGTTTCAGTGGATTACCGTTGATTCTTTCTCCTATTTGGTAATAATTTGCAACAATGTCTTTGGGATTTGATGCTTTTGGGTTTAGAAACATGAGTTCTGGAAGCTCTAGTGCTATTATTACCTCGGAACCTTTAATGGGAGGTTCAAACTACTTAGCTTGGGCTTCATCTGTCGAGTTATGGTGTAGAGGTCAAGGTGTTCAAGATCATCTAATCAAACAGTCTAGCGATGGAGATGAAAAGGCAATAGCACTTTGGGCAAAAATCGATGCTCAGTTATGTAGCATCTTGTGGC